TTGGTGTCACTGGGCATGGTCAGAGGCCAGGGTGGAACTGGGCTGCCCGCCTGTCTGTTACTGTTCAGCCTGGAGGCTGGCTGGGGGATTAGTACAGCACACACCCAGGAACAAGGAGATCATCTTTGAGTGACTTTTTTAAAAGTACTGATGCCTCTTCAAGTTAAATGTGTCCACCTCTTTTGTCTCTTACTCTGGCCAGAAGCACCAGCTTCAAATTCTTTCATGTCCTTGGGTATTCCGAGCCCGCTGCCCCCAACTCCCCACCCCACCCCCCACAGTCGCCCTGGCTCCCACTGGTGGCTTCTGTGAGACAGCTTCTGGGATGCTCTCCATCCTTTAGGGACATTCCTGTTCCACTGTTTCCTGGAGAGCTCTGGCTCCGTGCGGCTAGCTAGGATGTCCTTGGCCCCAAGATGCTGTTGGGCTTTCCAACTTGTAGTCTCTCGGAGTGTCTGTCCTGTTTCCAGGTGTGTGGCCTGCCTGGCCAGGGATCTTAAGGTCCTGGGCGGGGTACCTGTTCTGCCTTCCCAGGCTGGGGGTTGGGCTTTTCAGCACTTGGTGTACAGCTCAGGACCCATGGGAAAGGGCTCCAAGTTCTGCTCTGAGGAATTTGCTTTCTGAACAGACTAAATTTGTATCACCCAGCTCCCTGACACCAACAACGAACCTGGACATGCCTCTGGTTCCTGCGACAGGTGGGTACTTGGGAGAGGTTCCAGAGTATCTCCGGTGTCCCCATCAAAGCCATGAGCTTATCTTGTGTTGGAGCAAAGGACTGAAAAGGAGACATCCATCTAATCTGGGCCCCGAGGTTGAGGAGGGAGCCCCGCCCCTTGGACCTTGCCCTCCAAGCTAGCCTGCCTGCCATCTCGGTGTGTGGGGAGGGGAAAGTGACACAGCTCTCGGGGCCACCAGCCCTGTAGCTCCAGGAAGCTAGAGGACAGGACAGGAGAGGAAGGCAGGTGCTTGGTGTGTGCAGGCCCCCTGCATGGGTATCTGGCTGCTGGGCTTCCTGCAGAGCACATGCCTGGAACTTTCCAGGGCTCTGCGCAGGGGCAGGCACCACCCCTTGACATCTTGCCTTGCCTCTCCTCTCCCTGCATTTACTTGTGTCCACCCAGCAGGTGCTTCTGGCATCTTTCACCCTCCCCTGAGCCAGTGGCAGTAAGTGGCTGGTGTCCCATTACCTATCAGTCCCTGAGCCCAGTTGAGGCAATAAAGGGCTGAGCCAACAGGGCAGCTGTTTGTTCATCCCACAAACAGCTGAGCCTGTGTGCTCAGGCCTGTGGGTACTGGGGCACAGGTGCTTTGAAGCTTCTGGGGTCTGCATCCTTTAGCAGAAGCAGCTCTGCTCCAATACCTTTGGAGTAAACTGTGATTCCCTGAGACAACCTGAAAATCCGCATGCTGATGCACAACCCCCAGGTGAGGAGAGATGGGTCTTTGGCTTTGGGGCCTTTGATTTTCATCCCTTCTTTGTCTTCCCCTCCTCCATGCCTCATGAGCACCTGAGCTCTGAATGGTAGCATCAGACCTGGGGCCCAGCTCACGGCACACAGCCAGTCCTATGACATCAGAGCCATGGTTGATCTCTGGTCCTTGAGGCCAGAAAGGGTCTAGGGTCCTGGCCCAACAGTTTTTCTTCCTGGGGCTCCTGTGAGCTAGTCATAAGGCTTATGGGTGCATGCCCATGTGTGGGTGTGTGTGGTGTGTGTGCATGTGTGTGGATTTCTAGACTCGGTTATGGCCCTCAGGAGGGGTATCTGGTCCCTCCTCAGCTCTTGCTTTACCTGTAGGATGCTGCGGTTGCTACACGGTGGGCCTTTCATCGTGGTCCCTGCCCAGGGTTGGACCTACTCCCTTTTGCCCCTCTGCGGGGCAGCAGACAGTCTCCAGTTCTCCAAAGCGTTCTTTGGGCTGCTGACCTAACCCTGGCACCACCACCCACCACCTGGCAGATGGCTCTGAGGCACTGCTTGGCAACAGTGTGGCAAGCTGTGTTTGAGCTGTGCCCCTGCCAAGGATGGGAAAGGGGACTGGTGACAGATGGGGGCGTGTGTCTCCTTAATCTTTCACAACACTAAGCTTGCCATGAACTATGAAAGGCATGAAATAAACCTGCTTTCCCTTTAAATCTCCTGGTCTCTTCTAGAGTGTTTGCCTTTCCTGTCCATAGTCCTCTGGTCAAGCATCTGCCCTGGGTCTGGGCAGAAACTTGGGGGAGCCCAGGGTTGGGGGAACTGTGTCCTGGGTTATGCACTGGCCACCACCTTGCCGCTTGCCGCAGCTCCGTGGCTGCATCAGGGGCCCTACCCAGGGACCTCAGTCTGGCTCTCCCAACCCAGCTGTGTGTGGTGTCGCTGAGGGCTAGGCTGCCTGTTAGCCCCACAGGACCTGGGCAGACCCCTGCCCTGCAGGAGGAGGATTGAGGGGATACTTGGGGACCCCACAGCGTCCAGAAAGCTGGGACAGCAGAGAGGAGGAGACAAAGATGGGATGGGGAGTCCTCCAAGGGGAGCCTGGTCCTCACCCATCTCCAGGCAGCGAGGCTTCCTTCTGGCCTCGCCACAGAGGCTGCAGAGGGACTTCCCTCCAGAAACCATCTAATCTCTAACCAACCCCCTACCACAGAACCTGAAGCTTTTTAATACCTCCAGAGCAGGGGGGCTGAGGTCAGCCAAGCCTTTTTCCAAGGCTTCTGGACCCACGGCATACCCTGGTCCCAGCCTGAATGACCCAGAACTTGCCTCCAGGGCTGCCCTCAGGACACTCATAGTTTGGTTTCACCCCGCAACCCTCCTGCCTGGGCCTTGGTGTACCTGCTGCTCCCTGAGGGACTCAGAGCCCATCTCTGGCCTAGAGAAGGAGTGCAGCAGGCAGCCTAGTCCCCAGGGGGTCACAGAGCGGCCAGGAGGTAAGTGGGGCCACTATGAGCTTCTGCCAGTCATTGCACCTCCCAGTAATACTCTCTGCTTGGAGGCAGGGATGCGCTGAGAAAAGTGGAACGCCAGGGGGAATTGAGTGTTCCCACTCTGCCCCCAGGGACAGTCCACAGCAGGTGCTTGCTAAGTGATTATTGATTCATTCCATAAATATCCAGGCCTGCTTGCTTCCCGGCACTGGGCAGGCAAGCTGTGCCTGTATATGCACAGGCACGTATGTGCATGCGCTTGTGTATGCATGGCTGTTTCTGTGTGCATGTATGCACGTGCACTTGTGCACACTAGTATGAGTCTGTGGGTGTGCGTGTGTAGTGTACTAGTGGGTATGTGGACATGTGTGAGGAGGCATGGGTATGCACGTGTCTGCATGAATGTGCATACGGGTGTGCTAGAGAGTGTGTTCATGGAAGTGTAGATCTGTGTGTGCAAGGCAGCAGTAAACGCATCCCTGCCCTCCTAAGGAGCCTCGTCCCGTTCATTATTGTTTACCATGGCAGGTAAGGCCAGGTACCTCTTGAGACTCAGTCCACATCGGAGGAAGAGCTGACCATCTGGCCATGTAAGAGGCCTGCTGTGGGCGTGCTTGAGCCAGCCCGCGGACCTGAGGCTGTCCCGTGGGCAGACATGCCATCACAGCAAGGCCAGGGCGTACTGGATGCCAGAGCTCCAGAGATCTGTGTTGGGTTCCTGGTGGTGACAAGCTGCTAAAGGGCACACTGGGAAGGACAGATCCAGGCAGATTTTGTGGGGTTGCTGATGACAGGAGGAGGCAGGAGAGGGTGTGGACACAGAGCTGGGCCCAGGCCAGGCAGCAGGCCTGGGGTGGGTGCTCTTTATGCAGGACTCTGTCTCCTTTCTGAATTTGGCGGGGAGGGTGTCCTCGCATAAACCTTTGAAGACACCAGCAAGTATGGCCTGAATCCCCAAACTCTGGAAGGAGGAAGAAGGCATCTTGGCTCAGGGAACTGCCAAAGTTTCAGCCTCCATGACCCTAAGCGGCCTGGGCCTTGCGTCTGTGTGACATCTGTCATAACTCTGCCCACGCAGTGTTTGGACTTGATGGGCCATGATGGTCCCTGCATCCCAGAGGTTTGGGGAAGTCCAGCCTCCTGGGGCGTTGGGTCTGCAGGGCCCCAGTGAAGCTGTCACCAGGGAATTTGAAGGATGATATGGAACCTCAGAGGGAGGCAAGCAGGCACTGGAGGCCAGGGCAGGACCCACATCACCGTCTCCCTGCCACATCCTCTGGCAGATTCACCATCCACCCAGAGGCAGGTGAGGGTGCTGTCTCACATTACAGGAGAGAAATGGGCTCAGAAGGGACAGTGATTTGTTCCATGTCTCCCAGTAGATGTGAACCCCAACTCCAGTCCCCCACCCCCACAGCTTTGGGCTCAACAGTGGGAAGGGGGAGGCTGAGGGAGGGGTAGAGGAAAATGGGAGTCAAGGGGAACCTGGGGAATAGGGACCCCCTGGAGGGGCCCCTGCCTCCTCCCCATGGGAATAGGAAACCATGATTATTGGAGAAGTCTTGGGGTGATTCAGACAGAAAGAGGGGGCTGTGATTCCCCCACACCCCACAAAACTCCTCCCCCAGGACCCTCTGCCAGTTACCTCCTGTTCTTTCTGCTGTGAGGGTAGTGTTGGCAAGGACAATGAAGCAGGTAGGCGTGGGAGCCCGGAAGCCTCCTGTTAGGGCGTCTTGGGGGCAGGTGTCATGGGACACTGAGGACCTGAACCCCAGTGACATCTTGCCTCCAGTGTGCCTGCTGCAGCTCCCTTCCCACTAGAGCCCTTGCCCTCCACATGCCCCCACCTGGTGTTTCGCCCAAATCACAGCTCAGCACAAATCACACCCCACCCCTTTAGGTGGCTCTCTACTCCCCCTCTTGCCCTGAGGGTCCATACCTGGGCAGCTGGCACTGAGTTTGGGGTTTTGTTGGAGGGTGAACATAAATAAAAATTACTGGGCACTTGAGAAAGAGAATCAGAGAGCTATTTACAAATGTACACATGGGCTCTGTGGCTGCATTCACCCACCTGCCTGAACAAGGCTCAGAAGCAGGAGAGCAGGGCCGCAAGGACCAGGAGGACGATGTGGGCTGCCAGGCAGGGCGCAAAGTTCTGATCGTGGGGTTGCTGGACCTGGTGGCCCCGCTTCTGGCCACCTGACCTGGCCTGCTGGAACTGCAGTTCTGGGATGATCTGATGGATCCAGTTATGGTGGGAGGTAACCCGGATGTAAACACCTGGGCGGTTCCGGCGGGCACAACCCTCACCCCAGCTGATCACCCCAGCCTGCAGCCACGACTGGCCCACGAAGCACACCAGAGGGCCCCCCGAGTCACCCTGCAGAGGAAGCAGAGGCACCATCAGAGCCCACAGGAACCCAAGAGCCAACAGGTGAACTTTGCAAGCACAGACCTGTTTTCCTCCCATTGTTCCTCTCCTCAACTCCCCACCCTAGGAATGTCCCCGCCCAGCTCCCCTCACCCCAATGGGTCCTTCCTTTTCTGGCCTGGGATGCCCATTTCTCTAGCATCCCCAGTTCCCCTGCTCAGAGGGGTGTGTTGAAAATGTATTTTCCTGAGTCTCCCTGCCAGCCTACTGACTGCAGCCCTGAGGGGGAGAGGTCCAGGAATCTGCTTTTCCCAGCTGATTGGATGCACAGCTTTGGTCTGGACTGTGCATCCAGGGCCTCATTGGGTTGGGCTGGCTTCCACCTTGACCTAGGTCCAGGGAGCAGGGCTAAGCCTCCAGCGTGGCCCATCGCAGCTCCTACCTTGCAGGCGTCCTTCTTGCCTTCAGCAAAGCCAGCACACAGCATGTCATCCTTGATGGTTTTGGGCTGAAAGCTGGACTCAGCATCTTTGCTGTAGAGTAGGTTGCACTTGGGCGTGTCAATGATGGGCACAGCGAGTTTCTGCAGGATTCGAGGGTTAGGCAGACGGTCTGGAGAGGGGCGAAACAGACTGCAGCTCAGTGGACAGTTCTTGAGAACCACAGCTCTGTCCTTCCCCATTTCTTGCTTGGGTTTAGACCTCTTCCCATTTGGGGCTTTGTGGGACAGAATTCCTTCTTCCCTTCTTCTATGCACCAGGCTGGGTTCTTCCTGTCCTCTCTCTACTTTCCCATGACGATGACTCCTGCATCTGCTGCCCCTTTCCCATACCCATTCCATCAATTTGAGTAGAGATCATGTGGATCAATATCAACAGAAAAAGATTGTTGCTTCAGAATGGCCCCCAACCTGCCTGGGACCTTCTCTAGGCATGTCCCCCATTCTCTCCTGCCCCTGCTCCATTACCTTGTTCACTGGGGCTTCCCCAGCCGGTGACCCAGCATTTCATGCCCGTCTCAAAGGTGACTGAAGGGTCAGGCACGCACACGGGGAGGATATAATTGGTGAAGGTCACAGGTGCCTCCAACTCCACCAGGGCCACATCGGCACTGGAGGCCATGCCCTGGTACAGGGGGTTGCTCTCCACCCGCTTCACCTGTGCATACATGGCATGTGGCCCTGGCTTCACCAACTGCCGTGCCCCCAGTAGGACCCGGTACAGGGATGTTTCAGAGGTGCTGATGGGAAAGAGCAGAGAATTTGTGTGAGGCAGCCCCTCTGGGGCTTCAGAGGGGGCATTGTTGCAGATTAGATGGAGAAAGGGAGAAGGGAGGAGTTAGTGTTGTTCTGCTGCTGCCAGATACTGCCCTCCTGGCCTCCAGGTCCAGTACCTGACATCTCTTTGCACTCTATCTTCAAAAAAGTAATCTCCAGGCGGACACACATCAGGGTGAGATGGTTTAGGATGTACAAGCTAAAGCAGCTTAAATTTCTGACTTTAATTCCCAGCTCCACCCCTGGCCATCCGGGTGACCTTGGGCAAATCACCTACCAAGTTCTCTGTGAATCAGTTTCCTTCGCTATAAAATGGAGACAGTAAAGGATGTGCTGTGAGGGGTGAAGGAGTAGACTGCCCATGAAGATGCAGCTGGGGGCCAGCCAACTGGGGCCTGGGTCCAGCCCTTCCCCTGAGCCTTGGGCATGTGAACTACGCCTTTTGAACCTGCATTACTGAATTTAAGATGTGAGGTTTTAAAGGAATTTCAGTGCTGTGGCAAGGCAAGAACTTAGGTTCTTGGGAAACCCTGAAGGTCAGGGGCCAGGTGGTTCATAGTGTGGAAGCAGGGATGAGTAGTCTGGCCCTTCGGTCAGAAATGGTATGGGTGATCTTAGGGTGAGGAGGAGGAGAGGACATCCTATTCCAGGCCTTGGCTCATCTGTAACCAGAGTCCCAGCTGGAAAAAGGTGTCCTGGATTTGAGGTGTGGGAAAAGGGATCAGGATAAGGCCTAGGGCATGGGAGGAGCCTGCCAGCATTTGCAGGAACAGGGCCTCAGGCCTGGCCAAAAACCTCACTGATGAGAGCAGCAAATCAGCAGTGCATCTCCTGGCTGGGCTACAGGGAGTAAACACTGGGAAGCAGAGACTGAAGCTGGAAGTTACCCTCAAAGTTAGACTTAATGGGAGCTCTGGCCAAGAAGGTGGGCCAGAGCTAGACAAGTGGTAGTCGCTGGCCAAGGTGCTGAAACCTGGCAGGGTGCGGGGCTCTGTCAGTGGTGACCCTGGTGCCGAGCCTGAGTGGACACAGGCAGTTAGTAGTGAGGGAGAGCGTGGTGGGTACTCACTTGGAGAAGCAGTGGGCCGCGGTGAGGACCCACCGCTCTGTGATGAGACTGCCCCCGCAGAAGTGGCTTCCATTTCGCTGGATGCTGACCTGCCATGGCCACTCGCCTTCCAAGGCATCCTGCCCACCCACCATCCGGTTCAACATTCTTGGGCGCCCGCAGACTAGGGAAACACAGCCAGGGCAGTGCTTACTGGGGTCAGTTCCATCAGCCGATTACCTACCCCAGCTCCACATTCCAGCTCCTACTTTCTGCTCAATTCAGAGCCCTTCTTGTCTCTTGGGACCTTAGGCATGTCAGAGGCGTGGGCGTCAGGTCAGCCCCTGACACAGGTGTACCCTTCTCAGCTTTGGAAAAGGACCCCACCCCTGTAGGCCTTGCACCCCTCACCCGTGAAATAGTGACATGAGGGTAGTTGAGATAACACATGTAGAGGTTTTATCCCATGATCTGACAAATGGACTCCCAGAAAGACAGTGGGTATTGGGAGAACCCTTCAGATTCTATCCTTATTTGCTGTCACTTTTTCCTGACTCCTCTATGCTTCATGCCTTAATGGCCCTCTTTTGCCATCTGCAATGTATATCAGACCTTCTTGCCTGGGCTTCAATTCCACTGAGCCACAACTGTTCCTTTGGGATTCCCTGTGCTCTGCCCATTTATTCTGAGTCTTCCTCAGAGTGAATGTGAGAGCCTCTGGCCAGTCTTGCTGCTCTGACAAGCCTGCTCCTGTTCCCCAACCCAAGAGTCTTAGGGCTTACCACTCAATGCCTTGGCCCTCGGAGTCCCTGGAAGAGAGAAAAGAGGAGGTGATCAGCCAACTTTGCCCAAGCCAGACTCTGCTCCTCCCCTCCACACTGCTGGGCAGTGCGGCCCTCTTTTACTCCATATGCAGAACCCTGGGGACTCCATACTCAGAACCCTGGGGACTCCCCACGGTTCTGAGGACTCAGTGCAGTTCACAAAGGGACACAGCAGGAGAGGCCAGGGCCCTTCAGTTTTCCTACAGGACCTCCCTTTGAAGTCTACAGGCCCAGGCCTATGAGCCAGACCTTATCTGCAAGGGCAGACAGACTCCTTGCCATTAAGTAGAATATCAGAAGATGCCAGTAAGGGAACCCAATGATGGCCACTTAGGGCAGATGGCTTCTCTTGTCCCCACAGAGGTCTCTTCTTCTCACCCCACACCCATCCTCGTCTGCAAGCTCTGGGGAGGATACAGCCATAAATAGTGGTGCAATGGGGCCTGAATTTTCCACCTCAGAAAGCCCAGGGCTAAGATAAAGGAAGAGTCACTGGGAGTTGCCTTTGAATTTCAGAGGTCTGGGCCTTCTTACACAGTCTGTTTTGAGGAGCAAGTCTCCAGTCTAACTTCAATCCTGAGGCTACAGCCCAGCCCCATGGGTCTTTCTGGTCTCAGTGTAGTAGAGAGAAGCCAGTCAGAGGTCATTGTGGGTCAGTCTTCCCAAGATTCCAGATTCCCAAGAGCTGACCCCTCTCTCAGGCATTCCAGCGTGCTCTGCAGCTGGAGCCCAAGATTGTTTGCTGGGCTATGGCATGCTGAGGTGGCACAGCATGAATGTGAACGGACAGGTAGAAGGGTGGGCTAGAGATGTTTTGAGGGCCCATCTACCCAGGATCCATTGCCCCCCGCATCTCTGGACACAGGCACCTGGTTTGCTAGGCCTTTACAGAAACCTCAACCCCAGCCTTGAGTCACCAGCTCGGATAACTTTCTCATCCAGTACCAGCAACAACCTGGAAATATCTGACCCTTGAGAGGTACCTTGCCTCCCAGCATCTCTGGTTCACTGGGAGCAGATCTGACCAGAGCTGGGGTGGAGGGCTCAGGACAGCTTCTCCCCACCTCACCCTTCAGCATTTCTCCTATGCACCGTTTTGGGGTCCTCGAGGGTGGGGCAGCTGCTACTGAACCTGTCTTCACTCTGACCATAATGGTAACCAGCTTCATCGAAATGAGGGGCCACTATGGTGGGAAGCACAGGGCTGAGCCACACATCTCCATGGGATGCCCAAGGACCCTGGGGTGGTTTTTGTCTTTTTGGATCCCCATTGTTCCAACCAGACTCTCAGTTCAAAGGGTGCACTCTCCAGTGCTGAAGTGCTGGGATTGGATGACGTAGTGAGAGGGGAGAGCTATGAATGTGGCAAGAGGAGGTGGACTCTGGGGGCTGAGAAGGCAGAGGCAGGACTGGCCACTCTTCAAAGTAGGGATGCCAAGTGGAAGTGTCAGGGCAAGAGTGGGATCAGGTTGGGACAGTGAATGGAATAGGAAGACTGCTGGACACCCTGTTCATGGATTGTGTTCATAAGGTGCCCTTTGAAAATGCAGATATTCCTTGGGAGAGCTGCTCCCTCTAACTCCCTCATCTTAGTGCAATATAATTGTTAGATTAGTAACACCTGACCCCATGCTCTTTCTAAGGCCTGAATGCTTCTGTTTGCACACGATGCTCTGTCTCATCCCCATCTACTCACCAGCATTAATATACTTTCAGGCTCATTCCCTCCCTGTGGGAATTTTTCAGGCTGTCCCGCTTCTCCCCATAGCCATCCCCCTTCCCATATATGCAGGCAGATCTAGGGCCCACTCCCAGAATCAAGTGTGCATGCCTGTGCTCTGGCCTGGCAGGACCGCTTCAAGGCTTTGCAGTCTTCCTTACCCCAGCCTAATACAACTTTGCTTCTCATTCCCACTGCGTCCTATGACCTCTGAGGGTTTTCTCACAATACTGCTCTTTCCAGAAGGCCTTTACTTCCAGCCTCTATAGGTTCAAATCCTAAGATCTTAATCCAGGCCCACGCAAAGCTCTGCCCAGCTTGCTCACTCTGGAAGTAGAATCAACTATCTCACCTGTTGGCCCAGGGGCTCCTTGAAGGCAGAACCCACATCCAGGGGACTGAGCCCAGGAAATGTAGAGGGACAGGAGAATGGCAGTGGGGATTGGACTGTCCAGGAAGGGATGAAGTGGAGACCTGGGCTCTGCAGGATAGGTGTTATGTCAGGGGCTGGGTGAGCCAGCCAGGAGGCCAGGCCCCTTGTATGAGCCCAGGACTCCCACACTCCTGTAGCTGGCAGGGATGGGAGAGACCTAAAGCTTCAAGAGGGAAGAACTAGAGGTGGGAGTGAGGAGGGTGTTGAAGAAGTCAGGCCTTTGGTCACAGCTCTATGCGAGTTAAATGCAGGCCTCTGTTTCTACTTTGGCAATGACCTTGATTACTCAACCCATCAGAAGCAATCTCTGTTACACCCCCTGATGGAGATGGGTCTCCCTCAAAGAATGTTATTATTCTTATGCCAGGAGGCCAGGAGGGGAGACCTCGAGGGCCAAGAGAGGATGGCCCTCCCTACTGAAGTGCTACCCTGAGGCCCTCCAAACTCTGGTGGAAAGCCTAAAGCCATGCCGAATTGCACCCTGGGGTGACCCAACCTGGCCCTGGGAGGTGACTTGAGGACAGGGAAGTGAGGTGGTAACTGGGCTGGCCAGGCTAGCCCAGGAATGCAGGAAGGTTTCCCTGGTAGAGAGTAGCCCGCCCCTCCTGGAGAGGCCTGGTAGGTGGGGCTCCCTGGCTGGCACCTCCTGACCCTGATCCAGTATTAAAAGAGGGGATAGGGATGCAGGGCTTGCTCCTCCCCCATACCTTTCCTTTCTAGTAGAAACAAGAGCCCACATCCCTAGCCCTCACTCCTGTATGGCTTCCCATTGAGTCCCTGCCAGCCTACTGGGACTCTCAGGCTCAGGCAGCAGCTCAGCCTTCTGGGGGCCCAGCTGATGGTCTTTCAGGGATTTGGAACCCAGTAGGCCTGTGCCCTGACATGAAAGACAGGGAAAAGCCAGATGAGGAGAGGCAGAGACGACAAGCCCAGAGCTTGGCCCATGAGTGTGGAGACAAGTGGGGAAAGGGGAGAAAAGCTTCTGCCCATGTCACTGCTTCTTGGGCCTGTGCCCACACCCTCACCCTGTCTTCCCCACTTCACATTTCCAGGTGGGACATCTGCCTGGGAGACCCCACCATTAGGGTGGGGAAGGGAGGCCTGTGCTTCAGCCCCAGGCCTGGCCAGGGAGTGGGGGGGCTTAGCTAGAGCTCCAGGCAGGGCAGAGGAGGCCCCTCTGGGAGGGGAAGAATGACTTCCTGCAACATCCAGGACTTACCAAACCGTAGCAGCAGCAGCAGGAGCAGGGCCATGGCTGGGGGCCACCTCATGATCTCAGGCCTGGCTGGGGCGCTGGGTGGGGGACAGTGGTGGTAGGATCCCCTGGAGCACTAGAGTGAGGTGCCAGCCTCCATGAAGTGGTGTTTTATGCTGGAGGTGAGTGTCGGCTTGGCTATGTTGCCCAACCTGTTGGCCTGGCCTGCCCAGCTCCTGTTGCAGGAAGGAGGCACCTAGAACCCTGACTCTCCATGACCTGGCCCTGAACTCCCTGTATCCCAAAGGGCCAAATCCTTCACCCTAACACACCTTAGGGTCTTGAAGCAAGGGTGCACTTGCCCCATTTGGGCGCTTGTAGCCTGGGGTTTTCTGCCTGCCATCATGAACTGACCACAGACACCTCCCAGTTGACCACAGGTCTCATAAGCAAGCTGTCTGCAGTCCACCCAGGAAAACTAACTCTCTCTTTCTCTCTCTCCCTCTCTCTCTCTCTCTCTCTCTCTCTTACTTATAGAGCCCCTCTATGTACCAGGCATCAGTGAGCCGGAGTCCAGACAGGGTCTTACATTAATATTTGTGTATGTGTATGTGTGTGTGTGTGTTGGGGGGTGGGGGGGCAGGGGTAAAGCAAGGAAAAATCCAGGTCACCTGCACTTATGGAACAAAGAAGAGCAGAGGAAGGAATTGGGACATATGCGGGGGGGGGGGGGGGGCGGGGGGGGGGTGTCCCCTGCTGACCCCAGTGCCCCTCACGGGCTTTCCCCTTAGGCAAATGGGTCCCAGAAGCGGCCACCCAAACGGGTCGTCCCAGGACCCACCCCAGGGAGGCCCCAACCTGCGTCCTTGGGGCTGCACCCTCCACCCCCGACCAGGTGTGGAGTGGGGGAGGGGGCTTCCCGGAACCCTCGGGTCCCGGCGGGCGGGGCGGAAGCTGGTTCTGGGAAGGCCTGGCCGGCATAACCTTCCCCTGCGTCCCTGCCCTGGGTGCGGCCAGCCAGGCTCCAGAACGTGTGGTCGTGGCGGCGGAAGCAGCTCCAGGAGGAAGTTATTTGGCACAGGAGGCTGACGTCAGAGCCCGGGTTGGGGCTCGGGTGGCCACTCCCCGACCAGGCCGCCAGGTCAGGGTGGGGACGAAGCTGTATGTAAGGTCTGGCGCTCCCTGATAGGCCTGGGGTGGAGGGGCGCTGGGTGGCAGGCAGAGCCCTGCCTCAATTTTCCCTCCTGCGCAATGCGAACGTGCGTGGATTGGGTGTGCTGTGGTGCACCGCAGGAGGTAGTGAAGGCCAGGGTCGCTGGCGCGTGGGCGGAGCTCGGTAATTACCCTCACCCCATCCCTGTCCTCGACCTTGGCCTTGGCGGACGCTCCTGGTCAGCGCGGTCCAGTCCTCTAGTGGACGCCAGTAGCAGCGCCTGGCAGGCCTAGCAGGATGCGTAGGGTGAGGTACCTCTCTAGCCTCTCACTCCACCCCTTCTACGGGGAGGTGGGGCACCCTCAACTAGGAGCTACAATCCAGGTGATGGCCGGCCCTCTCGCGCTGCCTGCCTCCCCTACCCCTCCTCTCCACCCCTGCAATGTCCCTGGAATTTGTGGATAGGGTGTCTGAGCCCCCTGCGGGAGCTGCAGGGAATGAAGGAGTGCAGAGTGTGGGAAGAAGGATTCCAGACTCATTTGATCCTTCATTCATTCCTTTTGTTTTTTGGGGTTGTTTTTTTTTTTTTAGCACATTTGGTGGCCAACGCTGTTCCAGTTATGGGGAATAAGGAGGTGAACAGTCTTTAGCTGCAGGTGGGGAGGAGATGGTAACCCGGTAACCCATAGTTTATGGGAAAAAAATGTCTAATCACAAACTGTGGAAAGTGTTTTAAAACGTCCAGGACCACATCTCTCCAAGCGCCTGATGATCAATTTCCCCATCTCAGAGGTGGGTCAGACTCTTTGGCCAAGTGCTTCCTCTGCCTTTTTTTTTTTAAGCCAATTCTAAGGGCAGCTCTGCCTTAAAATCCAGCAAGCAACAAAAATTAAGATGTGATTGTAAGTGAGGATGTCAGAGGAAGTTGGACTCAGAGGACCCAGATAGTCACTCTGGTGACTAGAGAAACAGCAGTCGAGATTTAATCCGACACCCTTGGGTCTGACACCCAGAGCCCTAAGGCTGAGCTGGGAGCTGGACAGAGGAGAGGCGTGGGCAGGAAGGTTGGTCCATTCCTCACCTTGTACACCAAACGAATGAGACAGATTGGAATCCCTCTGGATTCCAAGACTTAAATATGTTTTTAAGAAGTCAATCCTGCCAAAAAAGAAAGGGGGAGGGACATTTATCAGCTCTGGAAAGGGAAGCATTTTCTAATGTTGGAAGCCATAATGGACAACAAAAAAGAAAAGAGATGTGGCCCTTAAGCTAAGAAATACAAGGAAAATTGGTTACAGAATCAAAAGGCAAAAAAATAGGAAAAAATATTTACAGGAAATTTAGCATAGTACTCAAGAAATTGATCAGAAAAACACAGACCTGCCCCGGCAGGGTGGCTCAGTTGGTTGGAGCATTGTCCCGTGCACCAAAAGTTGTGGGTTCAGATTCTCAGTTAGGGCACATACCTAGGTTGCAAATTCAATCAGTCTTGGTACATATGGGAGGCAACTGATCAATGTTTCTCTTTCACATCAGTGTTTCTCTCACTCTCCTTCTCTCTCTCTCTCTCTCTCTCTCTCAAATCAATAAAAATATGTCCTCGGGTGAGGATTAAGGGGGGAAAAAAAGATTGGTTTAGAAAAACACTGAAACCCTAAAGGTGAAATTAATGAAGGACACAGGTCACAAAAGAGGAAACCAATTTGGTTAATGGACTTAGGGAGAAATGTTTAGCCTTAGTAGTTAAATGAATGAAAATCAAAACCATAGCAAAGACATGCCAGTTTTCTATGCAGTTAGCATGGCACTGGAGGAATGCAGTTAGTCAAGGCTGTAGGGAAATGGGCCAGCTGGTGGGCACGTAACTGGCACAGCCCTTTTGTAAATCAGTTCACCAGTCTGTAGATTCAGCTTTTTAAAATAGTTATTCCTGTCCTGGCTGGTGTGGCTCAATGGATTGAGCACCAGCCTACAGACCAAAAGGTTTCTGGTCTGATTCCCAGTGAGGGCGCATGCTGGGGTGGGGCCAGGTCCCCAGTTTGGAGTGTGTGAGAGGCAACAGATTGATGTTTCTCTCACACTTTGGTGTTTCACTTCCTCTCTTTCTCCCTGCTTTCCCCTCTCTCTAAAAATAAATAAATAGCCCTGGCTGGTGTGGATCAGTGCATTGAGTGCTGGCCTGCAAACCAAAGGGTCGCCGGTTCAATTCCCAGTCAGGGCACATGCCTGGGTTGCAGGCCAGGTCCCCAGTAGGGGGCGAGCAAGAGGCAACCACACACTGAAGTTTCTCTCCCTCTCTTTCTCCTTCCCTTCCTCTCTCTCTAAAAATAAATAAATAAAATCTTTTTAAAAAAGAATTAAAAAAATAACATTTTCCCTTCACCAGTGTGGCTCAGTTGGTTGGGCATCATTCTGCAAAATGAAAGGTCACCAATTCAATTCCCAGTCAGGGCACGTGCCTGGGTTGTGGGTTTGGGCTCCCATGGGGGCACGTACAAGAAGCAACTGATTGATGTTTCCCTCTCACATCGATGTTTCTCTCCCTCTCTTTCCCCCTCTCTTCTCCTCCCTCTAAAAAGAATAAATAAATAATCTTAAAAAGAAACTCTCATCCAAACAAATAACATTTTAAAAAGATAGCATTTTCATGAAGATTGGATAAATATGGAAAATGTTCATGATATAAGGGCAAATTAAAAAAAAGACAGGTATGAAGATTTGTAGAAAGTATAACAACTATGAAATTTTTTAAAATTTCAAAGGAACAGCAGCAACATCCAAAAGAAAAGTGGCAGAATGTTCATTTAACAATGACCAGCTAGGAGTGGTTCTGTAGTCATGTGGACTTTTTTTCAAAAGCAGATGACAAAAACTTAGACTCATGGAACACAATGGATATTCATGTGACCTTTGGTCCTGGTTGGTGGGACCCAATTAGTGGGACTATATTGTGATGTGCCATTTGAAGAAAGAGCTGCAGGACCCAGGGTGGTTCTGACAGCCTCCCTTTTAACTCCAAGGATGCCCTTCCTTTCTCGTCGTGACTGCGTTCTGTGATCGCCAAGATGACTCCCGGAGCTGGGAACATGGCCACCAGCTGGAGTCTCTTCCTTCTGGGAACACCAGCTAAGAGGGCCAGAGCTACTATGCCTCTGTCTGTAGAAAGATTGTTCATCCAGAACGAATGATCCCAGGGAAGGACATTAAGTGGCGCAGCTTGACTCCTGGCCCTATGATTAACATAGGGTGTCACATGGCCACAGGACAGAGTTTGTTCAAAGAACAGAGTAGGAAGGAAAGATGCTGGTCAATTAGAAGCATTAAGCACCACACTTTCAGTCAAGTGTGACAGTGAAATAAAGACATTTTCAGACATGGGAGATATCAAAAAATACACCCTCCATGTACCATTCTTCAGAAGCCACTGGAGGAAAGATGTTCTCTGACTAAATAAGGAATAAACCAAGGAAGTAGGAAATGTGAGCTGTAGAAAACAGAGATTGAACACAGAAAATAAGTGAAGGGAATCTCCAAGATGCTGGTGAAAGGAAAATCCAGAATGACAGCTGTGCCACAAACACAGTGGACAATCAGTTCTCATTGGGACACAAGAGACAGGAATGCTGACATTGCCATCATGCCCTCTGCCATTGCACTATCTTTTCAATCTGATGAAACTCTTGAATGGTGTGCTCCACCAAAACAAAATGTAAATGAAGAAAGAGGAACTCAAGATGCCAAGGACATAGGCAAATGGAATTCCAAGGATGACATCTAAAGGGATATCCCAGAGAGGAGGAAAATGGGGACCTCAGGGAAGGATGCAACAGAAAAGAAGGGGGAAAAAAGGAAGTGATATATTTCCTAATGGGATTATTAGGGTAGGTATAGTAGAAATGAACAACAAAGGCAGTTACTAACTT